TTTGGGGGCTTCAGCCAAAACACAGTCATAGCTACGTCTTAGATTGATGGGTATCGCTTTTGGGGGGTCCTATCGCTTTTGCGGCTTTTTGTGCGATTCCTACATCTCACGGCATTCCTTCTCTTCGTGCTTAATACGCGAGTATTGACCATTGCTCATATATCCCTGTTGTATGACCTTATACATCCACGCGCTATGTCCGTAAACCCTAAACCCCAAACCCAAGACCCTAATCTAAGAAACCCCCACAAGACTGCCAAAAAAAACGGCCTCGCTGCTCCAGCTATCCCGTAGCTCAACCTGCCATGTCCAAGGTTCAGGGTTTCGGGTTTAGGGTTTAAGGTTTGAGGTGATTCAGGGTTTCACGCTTAGGTTTTAAGGTTTAGGTTTTTGGTGTGATCCTTTCTTAGTTTGGGTTGAAGATTGTGGGTTTAGGCGGTTTAGGGTTGATGGCTTTTTGCTATTAGCGGTGTAATTTCAGTGCACCCCTCGGAGGCTAGTCTTTCTTTGTGGTTGTAAGGATGGGGGCTAAAGGCCAATGATTTGGGATGTGAGCATTGCGTTTGAGTTTGGAATGTACTGCCACGACTACTGCGACACCTGCTGCTTTTGAAACCACACTGTCATACTGGACAAACTGTTCCGAATCGTGGTCCTCGGGAATTGGGACATTGGTTTAGTGAACTCGATGACAAAATTGACAGATTCGCACTTGACATTCCAGACAATCTTACACACTTTCAGAGGAAGACGATAAAGAGGCTTCTGATTACATCGGAAGGATTCAAAAATTGCTGACAAGAGCCTAGGTCCTGCTGTTGTGACGATAGGTGAGTATAGGGTTAATGGTTTCAGATTGCTCAATGATCACAACTATGTGCAAATTGATACGCACCTAAGGGATACTGGTTGTGCGGTATTTACTTCACTACATCCGGTCCAGCCGCACGTGCTTTTTAGCATCCAGTCAAAGCAGATCAAGTTGGCATAAACGTCGCAATCCTAGTACAACTCCCTACGTTGTAATTCAAAGGAAACAAAGCGTGCTCTTGCCTACAAGAGATGAAGTGGACCAGAAAGCCATGAAAGCCGTAGGAACCAATGAAAACAGTTTGTTACCTGAAGGTTACTTCACTGTGGCGCGCATGGTCGATTCTGACTCTGATGTTTGCAACGAGCGGCAGGTCAATCCTTCAGACATGATCCACTCCATTCCAGAAAAGTCCTAACAGAATATTGCATGTTAAACACAATAACAAGGTGTAGCTTGATGAGAATCTAGTTGAATTGCCGGCACGACATATCTAGTACTGTAGTGTAGTATTGATACTAACGACTACTGGTACTACGAAAAGACGGCTGCAACTACGTACAACGACGGCCGCAACAAGGACCGAGCATGATTCCCACAGTGTTGAACAAACGTTGTTGTAGCTATTCCGGCATTTCATATTGCAATCAGTTGGGAGCAGTTGGGAGTCCCACACGATGATAAGAGCCTTTGGGGATCCTCTTCGGACCAAGTCAGAATTATTCTGAGAAACTGTCACCTGAACCCAAGGCCCTAGGCCCCAAGCTATTTCTGGGTTCTTTTTTTGCAGCGTTTCTTTGGTTTAGGGTTATTGTTCCCCTTAAGTTAGTAAAATGTGGAATTGACCTATATCATAATAATATCCCCATATACCCCATATTCTATCTACTGAAGGGGGACTATAACCCTAAACCCTAAACCCATAAGGGTTTAGGGCAACCCTTCGCCGCGGAGCCTCCTCGACTTTGCCCTTGGCCAAGGGGGGCAGCGCCGCCCTCAAAAGCTTCAGGGCCTGCGAGGGATTTTTGAGGGGGCAAAGACCATGGGTTTAGGGTTTAGGGTTTAAGGAACTTGAATTGAATTACCATAAGGTGTATATACAGTAAATAATAGTGTTTTCCCAATATAGCAACTCAAGTTCAGTTACGGAACAGCAACCCAGAAAAATGGTTACCGCTCAGTGTTTAGGATCTAAAGACCCCACAGGACCCCAAACACCCTAATCCGAGCACTTGTTTTATTAAAGGGTCCACATTTAAAGAACATTTTTGATGTAAAATTAGCTAACTTCCAAATACTAGCTACAATTAGGTGGCTTTTTGTATGGGGATAAGGGACTGTATTTGAGGAAATTTGCTGGGGAACCAATCCTGATAATAGAGATATTCAATACGTTCCTTTTATTTTTTACTTAATGGAGGTTCAAGAGCCCCAACTATTCAATTTTTAATTGAGTTCCAGGAGCCCCAATCATTCATTTAATCTGGCGCGCTCAATTTCTTATTCTGGCCGGGGGGGGTCCCCTCCAAATTAAACAAGCGCTAGGATTAGTAATTATCTATGGGGTTATATAGGAATCAAATGGAAAGAAGCTACTGTATATAGGGCTATATAAGAGTGAGCCTATTCCATGAGCCTGAGACATTTGCGAATGGCAAGCTAGTTTCCATTTTCTTTTCCGTTATCCCTGTATAACCCCAATACTATACCGTAGGCGGGACTACAAACCCTAAACCCTAAAACCCTAAACCCAAAAACCACAAACCCTAAAAGCCTAAACCCTGAAACCCTAAACCCTAAAACCCTAAACCCTGAAACCCTAAAACCCTAAACCCTAAACCCAAAGGCCGAAGCCCAAACTACACCGGAGCAAGGTTGCCTTCCGAGCATCGCGTAGGCTGCGCTCGTCGCTGGTTGGTGCAAAGGTGTCTGGCAACTTTTCCTGGGCTAAAGCAGCTAAACCCTAAACCCTAAACTCCAAACCCCAAACCCTAAACCCTAGACCCCTAAAGCCTAAACCAACAAGTTGGGTAGTGCCCTCATCCACGCGTGCTGACTAGAAAATTGAGTAGTAACTGTGACTTCTTAGGTTGAGAATGGATACTCCCCCCACAGTCACCGTCTCCAATAAGGGCAATATCAGCGGCTGAATGAAAACACCATAATCCAACTGCTAGTGATGTGGATCAGTACCCAAGGTCAACTGTGACCGCAGAAAGTCTCTTTCAGACTGTGATTGGGAGCACAAAGTTGGGATTTAGGTTTACAGCGCATGGCTTAGATAATTCCACCTGGACACGTAGGGTGCCATGCTAACCCCATGATTTTTGTGCTTGCGGTTTATGATTCAGAGTTGGGGTGTAGGGTACATGGCTTTCCATCAGTTTGGCACGTCTATGACTGTGACTACAAATTGCTCTGATCCTCAATCCTATGCTGTATAATAAACATGACATGAGCACACTGAGTCCCAAGGACCACAGCTTCCAGGTGGGTAAGTAAGGCCCCCACTGCGTCGATTGGCTCAGCTGCGCCTGAAAGTGCATAACATCAATAGATGAGACATGCGGAGGGATACCAGGTGTCCTGAAGGAACCGAAATACCTGATATCTGAGAACTAGAGGAGTTTAGTATACTGGCTCATGTACCAACAGCTGCAATGAAGTGAACAACAGAAACAAGCGCAACAAGCCGGATAATACCATTGACCTATACACAATATCATCAGAAAAATGTAACCGATAAACCCTAAACCCTAAACCGCGTAGCATGAAGCTCAGAGACGACAATCAAAGCAAGCTCATTCGCCATAAGCTGCTCACAACAGGCTGGGGTTCCAACAGCTGGCCCGAATAGTCAACGCCTGGAAAGCGGAACTGGATGGTCTCAACTCAAAATCACCGATTCCTTCTTTGGTGCAGCACATGTTCAGACGGAGCCAAGTCAGACCTAAACCCCAAACCCTAAAGCCCTAACCCCTAAACCCTGAAAAAGACTTGCGAAGGGCGCGCTGGCCTTTCCACTACCTCCAATCAACCAGCCGTCGAACTCTTTTCGAGGATGGTTGGTAATCTCCTGGCTGCTGACATGATCATCATCGTGCTACTTGTGGTACTAATTGCTGGCAACAGCTCATGACGTTGAGAACAAATGGTATGCACATCAGCAAGGCTTCCGTCTACCGTCAACTCCCCCAACCCATTTCAATCGTGCAGCGGCGTACCTCACCGCTTTGCAGAGAAACACCTACGAAGAGTCCACCGGCGCCAGCAGGTGCTGCAGTGACTTCATCCATCTGGCGATGCTATGGTCATTTCTTTACTGGTGCTGAGTGGATCCCTATAATCATCCCCATAATATATACCGCTATATACCCTATACTGGTACCTATGTTCACTCCCCCACTCCCCCCTAAGCACCAGTAGGTTCCCTTTTGCTTCAGATTGTCTTCAGCGCACAAATGCTCTCTCCCCTACAAATTCCCAGTTCTCTGAAGTTTAGCCCTAAACCCTAAACCTCCCCCAGGCCAAGTTTGCAGAAGATCATTGGGACCCATCTGCTACAGTAATGATCCCGGCATCTGGATAGTGGAATAGCAGTTTAGGGGGGAATTCCCGTAAAATGCCCACGCCTCAAACACTGCGTCCGGATGTCTAATCCGTAAGTGGTCCTACATAACAATCCTTGAGCCTGAATCCCTATGTGAGTCATAGTCTAGACTCCTTAAAGGGGGATTATATTGGGGGTTATATAGTGGAGTATACTACAGGGGTTATCAAGGGATACTAGGAGTTTAGACCCTAAACCCTCAACCCTGCATCATATGGGCGGGCCTCCAACTCGTAGTACGAGGAGAAGCAACCTGCAGTTTCAGGCACCATCTGAGGATACTCAGAGCAGTGACCAAGGGGTCAAGGGTTTAGGCGATGTATAGGGGTTCGAATCTTCAGAGATTCTGGGGGTTCTTACCAGGGACTCTGTGCAGCGATTGTCTCTAGGTTCTGGGCACTCACTTCCTTAGCCAGACTACCATGCCCAGTAAATCTACCCTACTGGGTTCGGGAGGAAGTTACAGCCTCGACACACTAGACGGGCTCTGGCACAGAGCCTTCACATTTTGGCTTGAGTCAAGCCAAAATGCAACCACATTTATTTTTGTTGTTGCTCCAGGTAGTGGAAGCAGAATGCAAGACAGTTCGAGGCTTCGACAAGGTATCCTGGGAGCAGGGTGGGGACGGCTTTCCGAGCAATTGTGCGCTCCGAAGCCCTAGACCCCGAAACCAGCAGTACACACCAAACCCTAAACAAGCCTGAACCCCAAATCCTGAACCCCTAAACCCTAAACCCCAAATCCTGAACCCTGACCCGTAAACCCTAAACTGTCGCAACCCTCAAGCCCCAAATCCCAATCATGCTGGAAGTACCAGGCGTGCCGAAATGTCTGCAAGGACCATCACCTGCACTCCACATGCTCGCAGCGTTTAGAGCTTAAAGTTAAGGTTAATGTTTAGGGTTAAGCGCTGAGGGCTCAGGGCCAAAGGTTTCAGGATGTAGGAACGTAGGAGGCGTCTCTTACCTCTCAAGGACCCCGCTGCCAAAAAAGTAGAAACTGCCAAATGATGTGAAATGCCCTACTCTCGAAACAGAATCTACACGATGTTTTGCTGATCATCAGCGAATAACCTGTTTTGAGTTTTCATGAACTTATAGCAATTTAACCTATTTTCCCTGAACCTGCACACCAAATATGTATCGTACACTCACCAACAATCATAAGCAACTCTAGATACATGCACCAAAAACCAGCATAAAACGACAGGCCCCGAAGCCCCTGACAAGAAGGTGCGTGGAGGGGGATGAGGGCCTTGATACCCATGGTGGCCCCTGCATAACCCCCCTTTTGGCCGAGGCAGCATCGTGCCTACCGCGAGGCCCTCTGTGTTTCCGATGACCTGAAATCTCTTGAGTTTAGAGTTTAGGGCTTAAGGGCTTCTGTCAGAGTCCAATATTTTTCATGAGATGCTTCATAAAATGAGTGCGACATGGACTAGATGGTACTTTGTATTGGCTTTCCCTTCTTGATGACGCTGACAAGAGGGACCTGCATTTGTGGAAGCAGCTAGGGCAGGATTTGACGCTCCCCTGAGTATACTCCCTCATCAAACTTCCTAAGGAGCCCTTACCCTCGCCACAATGTGAATGAAACCCCACCTCAAAAAAGTGCATCGAATTTAGATTTACTGAAAATATATACCTCCCGGCCGGCTCCGATGTAGCCAGCTAGATTTTTGTCGCCGATGTACACCCATTTTTGTGACTGTGCTGACGACTCAACGACTGAATCTACATACATATCTTGCAGGAATTAATTGGTGGTCTGAACGAAAGACAGGTGTATTTAGATCTTGTGAGCAACTTGACGAGAGAGAGAGATACAGAGACATGCACTGGCAATCTGCCCAAAATAGGTTGGACTCCAATATAGATTCCAAAATACTCTAATTTGGGGTAACCCCAAACCCTAAACCCTAATCCCTAAACCCCAATCCCTAAACCCTAATCCCTACACACTAACCCTACTTTTGGGGTCAGAACCCCATTCTACCCACGGGGCCCCTACAACGCCCGTAGCTGCCAGGAAGCCACGGCCTATCAAGTCAGGAGGTCAGCTGAGCTATACCCTCAACTCCTTAAACGGGGGTTATTTAGGATTTAGGATTTAAACTCCTTAAAGGGAATTACACAGGGGAATCTATAGGGGAGTATTGTAGGGGCTATTACGAAGTCATAGCAAACGCTGGCAGAACAAAAAAACACATCCATGGGCCTACTGCGATGGACAGATCTGCAGAGAGCTGCACGTCGTCGCCCTGCCCAGGTCGCAACGTGGCAAGCATGACATGGGGGTCCAGAACTGCCCTCTTCCTTCGCAGTCCGGTGCCAGTTCCGGAAGTACAGCACAGCTGGCGTAAACCTCGGAAACGGCACACACACGCACATCTGGCCTACACATTTGTATATAGAAAATACCAGGCAGAGCGTATGTGATAACACTGTAATAACTACATATGTCATGTGTATGGGCTTGTGCCAGATATTATCCCTATATAACCCCTGTACACACCCTATTATAATTGGTAATTTCCATTTTCTTTTCCATTCTCCCTGTAAAACCCTATATATGCCCCAGCATAATATAGGGGTTTCCATTTTCTTTTCCATCATCCCTATATAACCCCTGTATCTACCCCCGGTATAAAAGAGCAGTTTCCATTTTCTCTTCCACTATCCCTATGTAAGCCTTCTATAACCCCTATATGAACCTATATAACCCTTATATACCCTATGTAAACCCTATATACCCGGCGTTAGCTGGCCTTTCGCTAAGCTGGCGGCTCTTGCCACTTTTCGCTTGCTGCACCCTCCAGGCTGAGAACCCGCGTGCTAACCTGAGCCACCATGAAACCACGCGTTTTAGGGTTTAGGGGTTGGGGTTCAGGGTTTAGGGCTTAGGGTTTAAGGTTCATGGGTTTACGGGTTAGGATTTAGGGTTTAGGGGTTAGAAATATGGTTTAGGGGTTAGGGTTTGGGGTTAGGGTTTAGGGTTACACCGGCTAGTACCAAGCCGCACTTCGTACCATTCAGACCAGGCCCCTAAACCCTAAGCCTCAAGCCCCCCTAAGCCTTTTAACCCTAAACCCTAAACCATTCAACCCTAAACCATTCAACCCTAAACCATTCAACCCTTCCTAAAGCCTTAAACCCTAAACCATTCAACCCTAAACCCTTAAACCCTAAACCCTTAAACCCTAAAACCTTAAACACCTAAACCCTAAAACCCCAAATCACCCCTCACTCCCCGGCCTGGAAGTTGTCATGCCGCAGGTGCTCGTTGTCTTCCCGCACCTGAGTCGGGTTTTTCTGGTGGTTATAGGGACAATGGAAAAGAAAATGGAAACTACTATATTATAATAGGGTATATATATTGGGGTTGTATTATTGAATAGATTTTTTTTGGTGGTTGAACCCAGTAAGATTATATTCCTTATATAAAATACTATACCCCAAAAGGAGGATAGAATCTTACTCTATGTTGGGTACCATAGTATCCCCAAATAAAACACTATATACTCACCTGGACGAGGGGTGACGATGGGTCAAAGCATGAATTCTCCCTGCAGCTGATGACAAGAATGATGGTTAATAGAAAAGGATTATAATATACATATATATATATATATGAGTACGAGGATAATGGAAAAGCAAATGGAAACTACTATAATGGTTTATTCTGAAGAATTACCTCATTTATGGAATTGTGAAGTGCTTATTCAGCTCTGTACCTTGAAATTATGAAACGACTAGATATCTTTGTATTGTGCAATTGCGTTGGCATGTCCGTATTTAGTTGAAATCTTGCTTCAAGAACCTTGGAGCAATGCGCTGTGAATGCTGACCCTTGTGAAGGAGCTTCTGCACATGAAGCTGGACAAAACTTGGCTACCCCCACGTTTGCTGGGCTGCGGCGGTTAATTGAGGAACTCAAGTTAAGCTGCAAGAAGACAGGAAACCCTCTCATTTACGTACTGTAGTTTCATACGATTTTTTTGGAACCCTAAACCCTAAACCCTATTGCACGGCCCCGACCTGGCCGAGGAGTGTCCGCATTTCTTCGTTCTCCTGGGGCAAGGTGAAAGTCTACCGTATAGGGTTCCGGGCTTAGGGTTTAGGGTTTAGGGGTTAGGGGTTTAGGGTTCAGGGGTTAGGGATTTAGGGTTCAGGGATTAAGGGTTTAGGGTTCAGGGTTTAGGGTTCCGGGCTTCATGTCTGTAGGTGCATCTTGGGATACCACCGACTACATGAAGCTAAGCAGGCTTCTACACATTTCGGCACAATCAAGCAGTCCCCGAGGCTTTTCTCATATGCAGTAGTACTTCTAAGAGGCTGTAGGATATTGCCGGGTTGTGACTGGGGCTCTTTCCCTACCTAGATACCCTCAAGCCACCAGCAAGCAACAAACGAACAGCGACTTTGGGCAAGGCGCCTCTACCACACCCAGGGTGCGATTCGCCAACCGTTGGTGCTCTTCCTTGGTGTCTGAAGGCTTGCTCACGGCGAGACATGCAAGCCCATGTACCTCGTTGAAACGGATAGTCGTCTTTGTGCATGGGTGTCTGGGGGCTACATGGTCGTTGGGGGCCACCTGCTGAGCAGGAGGAGGGTCTCAGGGCCAAGCCATTAACAGGCGGAGGTCGTCCGCAATGAGCTGCATGCGCTCGTTCAGAATCTGATGGCAGCGGCAGCAGGAATCCATCCATACAAAGGCTCTCCAGGCTACCAGTAGGGTCTAAGGTTATTACCTGAGCGGAATCTGGAGAACCAATCAACATAGAAAAGAACAAAATTGAAAATCGGCACTGGGATGATGTAGTGCTTCCACGGGTCTAGGTTCGGAAAACTCAAGTCATCTCCAGGCAAGTTCTTTTCATCTCTTACAAGTTTAGCACCAGCAGAGGCTGGGAGACTGCAGAAATTGGCCTGCTGATCTCGTCGCAGGTCGGCATCCGCTTCAATGCCAACGTCAATCTTTCCCATGATGTACCTTGGATGGATGCAGATAGGGGCTTCAAAAATAATAGGGGCCCCTTTTTGAATCCCAATACTAAGGAGCATGGCATGTTCGGGTCTAGATGTTGGGCTCCATGTTTCTGGAAATCTCCGTGTGACCCCAGGACTAAAGTTCTAGTATGTTGTTCAATCGGTCCCCTGGGCAACCTACCTTCAGTCCATCGCTTACCATGAGCTATAGTCTAAACTCCTGGTATCCTCCTTAAAAGCCCCTATAACGCTCCCCTATATAGTCCCCTCTATATCCACCTTTTACGAATTTAGACTATAACTCACATGGACAATTTTTTCTCTTGGTCTGAGCGAAGCACTTCTGCAGGTCTTTCAGGTCCTGCAGAACGAGCTCATAGGGGCTTTCTCAAGGTTTAGGGTTTCCAGGGTTTAGGGGCCCTTAGGGACCCCCGGAATATGTAGGGATAATCTGCGGACTATGGGGGGTGGCACTCTTTATAACACGATAATTATAGGACATAGATTGACAAACTCCCATGTCACAGCTGCGACGGCCAAGTCGAATTCCAGGACCCCACTCAGATATTGAAGCATCTTATGTTGTCGTGCTACTCCATGGTCCATAATTACTGTTAACCACGTATTCGAACATATTATGATATGGCATACATCCATACAACATACACATATATATATATGTATGTACAGCTCACTTTCATTATCAATCTCGTGTGGATGAAACCCGCCTGGTTCGTTCTTTCCACGATTTCCCGCAACTCCTCCTGCGGTATGGGGTTTCTAATGGTTCCCACAACAAAGATCTCCAGATCAGATCAGGGAATGGAAAGAAGTGGATGCACAGCAATGGACTTGGAAAAATGCTGTAAGTCGTTTTAGGGGTGCCTCTTTTGAGGATCGAACTGTTCTAGGGGGATATAAACGAGCATACCCAAGAGAAACTACACATCCAGCTGCCCCTCACTAAACCCTCAACCATTCGGGACCACGTTCTTCTTTATGTGCGACAGTGCGACCCTATAACCTAGATGAGAACACAATCCGACTATCATTTGAGAACTGCCATCTCCCTGCTTAACTCTAAGTCCTGAACCTTAAACCCCAAACCTAAACCCTTTAACCCGTAAACCCTCAACCCTAAACCCTAAATCCTTAACCCCTAAACCCTCAACCCTAAACCCTCAACCCTAAACCCTAAACCCACAACCCTAAACCCTAAACCCACAACCCTAAACTCTAAACCCTATTCAGGCATCCATCCGGCCCTGCCTTGTCCCGAAGCCATTGGCTGTCTAAGACGTTCAGGCGGTTGATGCAGTTCATGACCTGCACCGCCCGGCAAACCCTTGCCCAGGACCCTGCCAAATCCTAACACAACTTACAACCCTGAACCTGAGGCCCTAAAATTCTGACCCTGCAAACCACAAATCCCAAACCCTAAGCCCTAAACCCGAATTCTGTTCGTGGCACCTCGTCTCTCATCTGCAGCGCGTTGGCGCTGAGCTCCCGCAGCTCCTTTCAACTTCACGGAAAGATGAAGGCTAAGCCCTAAACCCTAATCCCTTAACCCCAAACCCTAAATCCTAAACCCTAAATCCTGAACCCTAAACCCTTAACACTCTAAACCCCAAACCCTTAGGAATAAGTTGGGTCCAGGAATTCAGTAGGGTTGAGGGCTTCCGGTGACGAGGATGGGGGTAGCATTGACACCCTAAAGCTCTAAATCCTAAAACCCCTACATAAATCCCAAAAATCCCCCAAATCCTAAATCCCTAAACTCTAAACCCACCTGCAGGTCAAACTGGGCCAACTTCTCCGCCACGGAGCGGATGTCTTTCCTCAGGCCATTGGAGCGGTTCCAAATTTGCACTCCCGCAAACTCCTACCGCAAACTGCTAGGGTTTAGGGTTTGGGATGTAGGTTTTGGGGTTATTCAGGGTTCCCAAAAAATCTTAAAGTGTCCAGAAAATAGAGCCCCCCAACTGCTCCCACTGCTACTTTGGGGAACCTAGAGGATAAGGAGGTTCCTTATTCTGGATCCTTAGGGGTCTGGGGCTAACATGGAACCCTAAACCTAAACCGAAACCCAACCCCAACCGGGGTCCCTTGTAGACTACTCTGCTTTATAGGGTTGACGCCTTCCTGGGACCCTTCTGCTCAAGATTTCCATATGCGCAGGGTGAAGGTTTAGGGCTTAGGGTATGTGAATGTGACCCCAACTTTTGGAAAATGCCCATTTGGGGCTCAGGGTTTCAATTGTGCCGCCGAGGAGCTCGTTGTCGTGCTGCTTGTTCATGACGGACTGGCAAGTCATTAACACTGGTCCACTTAACATGGCAAGCTCAAAGTAGTATCGCTGATGGCTATGACATGATCTTTGATTGGTTGCGGTTGTTGCGTCTGCGATTGCTGATACTACTTCCCTCTACTACCAGCGCTGCAAACTCTCATCTTCCCGGTATTGGTCCTGCTGTCCTACTACCAGCAGCTTCGCTGCCACCACCACCTACCACTGCTGCTCCTACTCCTCCCCCTTGTCCTCCTCCTACTACTACTACTACTACTACTACTGCTCCCGAAGATGATGCTGAAGATCATCCATCCTCTTGTTGCTGCATCCGACCTGGCCTCAAGGGCGGGACCAACCTCATCGTAAATGGTCGTCTCGCACTGCGCAGGGGCTTGCGCTGGCAAATCAATCATCAAAATCAGCAACATCAGTGCCAGTGTTACTACTAATACAAATACTAGTACTAGCACTGGTAATGATTCTAATACTAGACATGCAAAATACATGAAACAATGAAACGAAGTTTAGTACTACTAGTAGTAGTAGCAGCAGCAGCAGTAGCAGCAGCAGCAGCAGTAGCAGCAGCAGTAGTAGTAGCAGTAGCAATAGCAGAGGCAAGCAGCAGTAGTAGCAGGAATAATAGTCATTACTGAAAGCCAAGGCAAGAAGATAGAATTAAAAGTCTGAAAAGTGACATTGTCAGAGCGTGGCCGGACTGAACACCAGCAACGACAGGTACGCTAATGTAGGCCCCTGATGAATAAACCTTCCCCGTAGTATGGGGATTAGAATAGGGATCCTGTAATTAAGGCCCTTACAAGGAAGGGGCTAATTAATTCGGGGTCTACATTAAAGCAAATGCAAGGTTGCAAGGGTTCCCGCGAAGATGGACGCCTGCAATTGAAGATCCCTAAACAAATGTCTTGCTTGTCGAGAATCCTTACAGCGGTTGGGGATATCTAAGGGCCCTCTGTGCAACATTGAGGCGCATGTCCTTTTAACCTCAGATGTGCGAGAGAATACGCATGAGCAGCTGGTCACAACGATTCTGAAGACCAAGATACTGCATGTAGGAGCAACAGTGGTAAGGCGGTCTTCACCAAATGGATGTCGCGCTTTTCTTGATGTTGCCGCAAAAATCCCTGTAAGTACCATGATTCACATCACTACAACCATATGAGCTACGGTCTAAAATCCTAGTATCCCCCTCCATAACCCCCACAATGATCCCCTAGACACCCCCCTGCATAATCCCTTCAAGGAGCCTAACCCCTAAACCCTAAACCCTAAATCCTAAACCCTGAACCCTTATCCCCTATATAACCCCCCTTATAGTACACATGAATCAGACTCTAACTGCTGCTACATCCCAGGGCATCGAGGCCCCGGGGTGAACCGGTGGAAACACATCGGATCTTGCCCACGTGCTGGCTAGACCTTCCAAACGCTCCCCCCAGCACAATCCAACTCTTAGGATGTTTTAAGTAGAGGTAAGAGTTTAGGGTTTAGGGTAATCCCTAAACCCTAGTCCCTAGACCCTCAATCCTAAACGGCGGGCGGGAACAAGTTGGCAGGTCTTTCAGCTTCAGAAGAGCTCGGAGGACGGGGCCGGGTACTTGGGAGACATGCCAAGGGGCTTTGCCCATGGTACCAACTCTTGAGGGTTTCCCAAAATTGCAGTTTAGGGTCTAGAGTTTAGGGTTTAGGGTTTAGGGCGTTTAGGGCTTTTTAGAGTGTTTAGGGTTTTTAGGGCTTTGAGGGTTTAGGTATTAATACCTAATGGAGTTTTTTACACCCCTTCGCACCTTTTCTAGCGCAAGCAATGCTGCTAGGGGAGTCCGGTGTAGGGTTTAGGGACTAGGGTTTAGGGTTTAAGGTTTAAGGTATAGGGTTGAGAATCCTACTTGACACATGGGGCAAGGGAGATTTCCTAGGGATCATGGGCAAGTGTCCAGGTTTTGGGATACCCTCCTGGCAGCTCCCGGCAGGGCCGAGCGCTGTAGAGTTTCCGTCACCTGGCTGTGCCGTATCGAATGGGCCTCAGATGTACGGCGGCGTTAGAAACCATATGGGGGGTTCCCAAAATTGGGGGTACCATTCTGGGGGTCCCTATAATAAGGACTATAATATTTGGGGGTCTACATTGGGGTCCCCTAATTTTGGGAAACTACCATATCTAGAGTTTTGAAGTGTAGGGATTCTACAGTGATGTTGCCCCAACAACGGAGAATCATGGAAAAGAGACTGGAATTGGAAAATAGAATGGCAACTGGCATTATACATGCTAGCAGGTTGTCAACATCCTCATCCCTTTTTTGACCCCCATTCCTTTACGGCCCCCCCCTCCACGATTTTGACAACCTGCAGCATAGGGTTTAAGGGTGGAGTTCCTCAGAATCATCAGGCAGATAGGGGATAATTGGGAATCCCTAGGGAATGTCATGTATATGTAGGACAGTTTGCCGCAGGCAAAATCAATTTAGGGTCCAAAGAAAGTTGTCAGGATAACGACCACACTTCGACAAACCCAATCATAATAGCAACCTGAGTATGCATGCTTAACAGCAAAAAAAACGACAGAGTATAGCAGCCATTGCTTGGCCAAGAGGCTTCTTCAGCGACATCCACTCCGGCAAGCCCCTCTCGCTTGCTTCGCGCTTCAGGGTGCGGAAGCCCTGATCAATGTCCCCCACCTGCCAAATCCAAAATCAGTTTAGGGTTTAGGATTGGACCCTAAACCCTCCACCTAAACCCTGATACCATTCCGCGGTGCTGCTGTTCAAAAAAAAAATTGCAACTGTACGGGCTACTACGGGGATTCAGTCCTCCACTTCCTACTCACAAGCAGCAAGTAAACAATTGAACTCTGAACCTGAAAGCCTGTAGTGGCTTCCACTTCCTTTTCCATTCCTCAATTCCCTGCTAGCAGCTAACAATCAACCCTAAGCCCTTAACCCATTCTAAGCCTTAAACCCTTAACTTAACCCCTATACCCTAAACCTCTAAACCCTAAACCCCTATAAACCCTAAACCCCTATAAACCCTAAACCCCTATAAACCCTCAACCCCTATAAACCCTAAACCCCTATAAACCCTAAACCCCCATAAACCCTAAACCCCTATGCACCCTAAACCCCTATAAACCCTAAACCCCTATAAACCCTAAACCCCTATAAACCCTAAACCCCTATAAACCCTAAACCCCTATAAACCCTAAACCCATTGAACTCAAGCTTTCCGGGCCTTGTAAGGCTCACGGGCCTCCTGCTTCTCCGCATAGGCATCATCATCTTCCTCACAGTTTGGGGTTTAGGGTTTAGGGTTTAGGGTTTTAGGATTTAGGGTTTAGGGTTTTTGGGTTTAGCATGTTAGGGTTCAGGGTTTATGGGTTTAGGGTTTTAGAGTTTTAGGGTTTTAGGTTCAAGGTTCGGGGCTTAGGGTTTAGGACTTATGGGTTTAGGGCTTAGGTTGAGGGTTTAGGATGTTAGGACCTAGGATGTTACGATTTGGAACATGGAGCCAACCATCCTAAGGCTTGGGGGGGTGATCCCTGTCGCCAGAAGCCTCGTTCTCACAAGTCCAAGTTCCCAAAAGGGTTTAAGGTTTAGGGTTTGTGTGGGGGAAACTCTAAACACAGATGTATAGAGATGTCAAAGGGGTACTGGGGATCCCTCCTAAGAACCATATGGGAGTTTCCACAAGTCCCTCTACTAGGGATGATACCACCTCAAGCGTTACATAGGGATCCTCTGATGTTTGGAGATGCCCATACACACTCCAGCTCGAAAAAGCCTTCGATGCTGCGGCTGTCAGAACTGTTTAGGGACCAGGGTTTCAGGTTTAGGGTTGCAAGGTGTGCAGCGTGTGCCGCCCGCCTCCTTGTCCAGAAGAAGAGACGTGCCGGCAACGATCCTTTTGTGCTTCACAGCCCGGCTGATCGCCACGTTCAGCTGGGCCTCAGGGCAAGGGCTAAGGCTGCGAAGTGGCAAACATGGAATCAGGAGTCCCCTTTTAGGTGCAGTAGTACTTATCAGAAGACTTGTACCGCATGGGGGAATATACCTCCAGAACTACATACATCTCTGCAACTTGCTACACATGCCGGACTTCTCTAGCTGCTGTCCAGCGTCCATTTGCCACTGCTGGTAGGCATCTGCTCTAAGGTTGTCCTGCACAGCAAGAAGAAGTGGGCTGGTAGCTTCTGCAAGCCCATCCCAGACGCAGCATCTTCTATACACTTGGAGGGGACCCCAACCTGGACCCCAAAGTACCGTGATGCTCATCATCGGGACCCCAAAACCCGTCTCCTTCTGCACTAGGTCCTCACTAGCACCTGAGCCCCAGGGAAACTTTGGGTTTTGGGTTTACGGCCTTTTGAGGGCGGGACCGAGCTGCTCGAAGATTGACTCCACAGCCTCTTCGCCCAGGACACTGCCTCAAGGAAGAACCAAAACCCGTGGCTTTCGCAAAGTGAAGATCACATCCTCCCATCCCCGAACCACCCTAAAACCCAAAAGCGCTAAACTCCTAATGCTTGTAGAAGAACCCCCCACATTATCTAGAGACACCCCCAGCTTTAAGATGCAAAACGTAGATCCCCTTGTGAAACTATGGGTTTATGGGTTCTTGGTGCGTGCATCATGGAGACCCAGATGGAAAAGAGAGTTGATCATGAAATGGGCGCAAAGGATCATAGAGTGGGTTATGGGGATCAGGGGATAAAACGGCACACTGCACTTTGAAATCAGCCCTGAACCCTGCTAGATAAACTTGCACCTCTAACCCTCAACCCTACACCCTAAACCCCTAAACCCTACACCCTGAACCCTAAATCCTAACCCTAAACCCCCTACCCTTTGGCCTAAAACAAGACAAAACTTCTAAATCTAGCCCAGGCTGCGACATCTTGCTATCAGCTCCTTCGTGAAGATCGGGCCCGTCGACGGCCGATTGCTAATAAGCTCTACCTGGCACAGGGAAAACTTAATATCAGGGAAACCCAAACC